TTGAAGAAAAAATCAAAGTAGAATAGTGATTGTAAATTTGTGGAGCTACACACAGTTGAGGCTTGTATGGTAGGACTGGAGAAGGAATTAATTGATCAAGGAACATCAGTGGGAATCAGTTACTGGGTTAAAAAAGGTAAAGATGGAAGCCATACTCTCTAACACAGTATATTCTGGTCACATTTACCATGAGAGACAACTGAACTTAATTATTAATCTAATTCATTATGGCATTTCCTATATGCATACGTTTTAGGAATGAAGCAAGTAGCTTACAGGTAAGCAGATTAGGCCAGGCGCAGTGGCTCACGCCTGTAATCCCAACACTGTGGGTGGCCAAGGTGGGCAGATCACAAGGTCAGGAGTTCAAGACCAGCCTGGCTAATATGGTAAAACCCCATCTCTACTAAAAATACAAAAAAATTATCGGGGCATGGTGGCACATACCTATAATCCCAGCTACTCAGTAGGCTGAGGCAGAAGAATTGCTTGAACCTGGGAGGCAAAGGTTGCAGTGAGCCAAGATCATGCCACTGCACTCCAGCCTGGGTGACAGAACAAGACTCTGTCTCAAAAAAAAAAAGGCAAGCAGATTAGTCTGCTAGGGTATTTTAAACTGAGGTAAAATGAGAGTTTAGTACAGATTAAAAGACAGTAAATATATTTTGAGTCTATGCTATATCATGCTTTTGCAAGCTCTAGGTGCTATAAGAGTTAAACATTCAAGCTGAAAAATCTATAAAAAGCACTCTGAAAATCTATACTTTTTTGTGTCATTGCTCTTTGGTGCTAAGAAGTTCTCAAGAAACTGAGTATCTTACATACCATTTGTGCTGTAATATTTAATTACAGTGAGTGTACAGAAGATTAGCTGTCACAAAGATTCTTTTGAAATCAGATTGCACATGAAAACTGCATTGTACCCTGCTAAGTAAGAAATTTAAGAAAGAGAAGGTGACGTCAAGACTTACTGCAAAATGAACAAATAAAGGAATAGGATTTGCTTGATTTTCAGCCTATTAAAGTATAGCCAAATGTCAGCCTTCATTTGTCAACTTAAATATGTTTTTCTAAAATTTACAAAGATTCAGCCTATGGAAAGTATCCTTTAGTATTTGGACTAAGAAGTAAATTAAACAAATGGAAAATGCTGAATAAGTTATGCTAATAATTCAATTTCTCATAGCGATAAATTGCCACATAAAGATGTATGTTAGTAATTCAGATAGGGATATTTATTGCCTTTTATTTTTGTTTTTTGACTGATTATCAAATTAACATGTGTTTTGCTCCCAGATATGTAATGTTTTAAAAGCTTAGGTTAATTTCTGCTCCACAGTAGCTAAACCCCAAATACAACATACACTGAACCATTTCTAGTCTCCAGTGATTTTTATCCCTACAAAAATGAAAAAACAAAACCAGAAAGGGATAAAAATAATCTTTTAAAAATCTAAGAGTTGAGCCCCAAGTAGCCAGGAGTGGAAACTATCAGTTTAGAGCCTGAATTGGACTAGCCAGAAATCACCAAGAACCAGACCATGTAAGGTGAGGATCCCCAGCTAGAGCAACAGAGTTCACAGATGGTTGGAACTAGAATGGTTGGGAACCTGTGGGCTTTATGGAGAGGACAGATTTCCCTGAAGCCAGAGTTCTATACTGACAGTATGTGAGCACATTGAGTTTTGAAGCAGCAGTGACGGAGAGGACCTGAATGGGACCCCCTCTTCTGAGTTAAAACTTTTAAGGGAATCCCAGAAGTTCCTGAGATTGGTGTACACATACACACACCAGACTGAAGGAGAAGAAACTATCCCAAAAGAATCTTAGATGATAATCAAGCATAAACTTTTAAAAGAATTCTACCACATCCAGATAAAGCTAGCCACTATTAAGTGAAAATCAACAGCAACAATAAATTTAGACTGCAAAGAATGCAGATGTTGGAACTGAATGCAAAATACAGCAGAGCTATGTGTGAAATTAACTTTGAAATTTCAAAAATGGGTATACAAAATGAGAAAACTAGGGTTTAAACAGATATACTTATGAGATAGAATTTCTAGAAATAAAGAGTTGGTGAAATCAAAACCTCCGTTGTAGAGTCATGTTTGTTAGACTTATCCTTCTACCATAAACAATTACGACATTGTACAACAAATAATTCAGGGCTTTGATCCTTGAAAGAAGGGAAAACCATGTGGTGACCTCTGCATTCACTGGCTTTCTTCCTGGGAGGGCTTTCCAAACTGCAGCAAAAGTAAGAGGAGCTCAGACAAAAGAGTTGCATGGAATGGCAGAAATGGAACCAGAGTTAAGAATAGTTCAGGTAGCTGAAATTTGTGAGACATAGTACCAGGGATGGGGAGCTGTGCATAAAAGAAGCACCAAAAATCTGCATAAGGGTGCTCTTAAGTCTGACGGAATACTAAACTGTACATAAGCATGGCAAGATGTCATGGGGCATGGCAGAAAACAGTCACTGGAGGTCACATAGTGCTGGGAGCCATCAGAGTTCAAATCAGCCAGTGTGTGAAGGGCTCACTGAACAACCCAAGAATTAAGTAAAGGTCACAGCTTTACTGTAGCTCTAAAGTAAAGACAACTCTTGACCTATCCTAAATTCAGTCTTAACAGGATCAAGCTGTCCTATCAGTACTGCCAGCCACCTGCCAGAACAAAACTTAATACTCGTATAGGAAGACAGCAAAATCCTATTGTCAACAGTGTAGTATCCACAACGTCCACTATAAAGTAAGCCAATATTATATAGGCTAAGCAGGAAAACATGACCCTTAGCCGGGGAGAAAGTCATTCAAAGAAACAGGCCCAGTGGTGACCCACATATTTGAATTAGTGAATAAAAACTTTAAGAATGCCGGGCGTGGTGGCTCAAGCCTGTAATCCCAGCACTTTGGGAGGCCGAGGCGGGTGGATCACGAGGTCCAGAGATCGAGACCATCCTGGTCAACATGGTGAAACCCCGTCTCTACTAATAATACAAAAAAAAATTAGCTGGGCATGGTGGCGCGTGCCTGTAATCCCAGCTACTCAGGAGGCTGAGGCAGGAGAATTGCCTGAACCCAGGAGGCAGAGGTTGCGGTGAGCTGAGATTGTGCCATTGCACTCCAGCCTGGGCAACAAGAGCGAAACTCCGTCTCAAAAAAAAAAAAAAAAAACAACTTTAAGAACTATTATAAACATGTTCAAGGGTTTAAGTAAAATTAATAGCATAATAGGAAAGGAGACCATAATTACAGACAGAAAAATGAAAACTATAAAAGCCAACTGAAAATTTTAGAATTGAAAAATACAATATTTGAATAAAAATTCATTGTATGAGCCTAATAGAAGATTGGAGACAGAAGAAATGATCAGTAAACTTAAAAGCAGGGAAATGCAAGCTATCCAAACATGCACAAAAAGAAAAACCACTGAGAAAAAGAAAAGAACAGCATCTTAGTGATCTATGGAACCATATAAAACAGACTACTGTAAGTATAATTGGAGATCAAGCAGAGGGGAAGAGGGAGGGGGAGTTAAAGAAAAATTGAAAAAGTACTAGCCAAAATTCTTCCCAAGTTTGAAGAAATGTATAAGCCAGAGCTTCAAGAAGTTTAACAAACCCCAAACAAACCTACATCTGGTCATATCCTAGTTAAATTGCTAGAAAGAAAAAAAAGAAAATCAGAGGCAAAAGATATATACCAGGGTAATGATAAGAATAAGTGCTGACTTCTCATCACTAACAATGGAGAACAGAAAATAGTTGATAATGTCTTTAAAGGGTGGAAATAAATGTCAAACTAGAATAGTATACATAGTAAAATAGCCTTTTAAAATAATGGTTATGTATAGACACCTTCAGATAAATATTGTCAGGGAGAATGTAACCAGCAGACCTGTACACAAGAAAAATTTAAAGAACTTCTTTAGGCAGTTGGGGAATGAAACTAGCCAGAAATTTTGATGTATACAAAATAATAAAGTTCGTCACATAAATTATAAATGTTTAGTAAATATGCAGTGTTTTCCTTTAAGCCTATAAAAAGGCAATTGAGGCCAGGTGTGGTGGCTCATGCTGTAATCCCAGTACTTGGGGTACTGAAGTGGATAGATCACCTGAGGTCAGGAATTCAAGACCAGCCTGATCAACATGGTGAAACCCCTTCTCTACTAAAAATACAAAAATTAGCTGGGCATGGTGGTGCACATCTGTAACCCACCTACTTGGGAGGCCGAGGCATAAGAATCACTTGATTGAGGTGGAGGTTGCAGTAAGCCAAGATCATGCCATTGCACTCCAGCCTAGGCAACAGAGCAGACTCCATCTCCAAAAAAAAAAAAAAAAATAGGCAATTGACTCTTTAAAATGAAAATAATGCATTGCTGTGATTACCACTAAAATATTTGATAATATCGCAAAGGACAGAAAGGGGTAAATAGAAGCATACCGTTACAAGATTACATTGTAGGTGCAATGGACTAGTGTTAATTCAGTTAATATATACTGTGACCCATAGAACCATAAGTGAGTTAAAAATGTAATAATTTTTTTAAATGGCTAACCCATAAGGCAGGAAAGTAGGAAATTAAAAAATGGGTACAACAAATAGAATAAAATGGCAAAGTGATTACATACATTCAACCAAATTAATAATTACGTTAAATGTAAGTTCACTAAACATTCTAACTAAAACTCAGATGTTACCAATTTTTGATGAAGATTATCTTCCGTGTAGAAAATATGTCTTTTATATATAAAAACATGAATAGCGTTTATGTAAAATGATAGAGAAAAAAGATATCACGTAAACGCTCGTAAGAAACTGGAGTGGTTATATTAACATCAGACAAAATGATGTCAAGGCAAGGAGTATTACCAGATGTATTAGTTGGGGTCCAGTTAGGAGACAAAACCACACAATGATTTAAACAAGGGAAGTTTAATGTGATAAAGGATTGGAATAATGGCAAATTGACTAGTGAAAGTTAAAGATAATTTTAACAAAAGAGTAGCAGATAGGCAGAACAACTATTATGGCTAAGACTGAGATAGAGCTCCCAATACAGAGCTTTCCCCTCCCTAGAGCTGAAATCAAATGTCTTTGGAAAGGGCACAACTTCGATTCACTGGATGGTGGAAAAGTCACTGATGTGCCTCGTAAGTGGGAGCATAAGTGGGAGTTGCTAGAAGTTTCTGGGGTACCACGGAAGCCATCCACATGAAAGTGGAGTCTTAGTCATGAGATTGAACTCACTGAATGTCAGAGGGAGCTGATGGGCACCACTGGAACTGGAATCTGGAGAAGCAGCCCTCTATAGGAGCCCAGCATACTTGCAGGATGTCCCTGGGATTCTAGGGCTGAAAAGATGTGGGGAGCAGCGACCTGGTTTGGTGTGCAGGGCCATACTGTGTGGGAAATCCCAGATACACCATCCCTATCTCCAGCTGAACACTGGAGAAAAGTTGGAACCTGCAGCATGGGAGAAACCACATAGGAAATAGCATGCACGGTGGTGGGGGTTGGGGTGTGCCCTACAAGAGCCTAGAGAGTGAGCATACCAGAACCAGCAAAGGAAAATCCCTTCCTCCTCCAGTGTCCTTCCAGAACCCTCTGCTGAAAAGCTTTAACACTAGGCTGGTTAGCAAAGGAGACATTTTTACAAAATCCTTCTTCATTTATTACAAAGTAGGCCAAAAAATGGTGAATTTGGAGCTAAAAGGAAATCAATAAAGAGCATAGTCTGCCCCTTTGAGTAATCACTGTCCATATATACCTTCTACACACACTTGAATGCCGTACAATAATAACTCTACATTTTACCTAACAGGATACTCATCATCTTCAAAATGAGGAGATGCAACAATCATTGCATACAGTGTTGTGGTTATATTAATGGCCCTTCAGAATCCATCACAGTTCCACTGGATAGTCTGTTGCCTAAAGACTAATTGTAAACTTAACCTCTAGCAACTTGCATATCAAATTTTTGATAATAGGAAGGAGCCAACCAGAGGAAAATGTGAGCATATACACCTAAGTACATATACATGAAAAGCAAAAAGGAAATACGCAAAGTGACTACAGTCCTTTTTTCTGCAATTGGTCACCAGGTCCTAACTGTTACCTATGGCTTCCTTTTTCTGCTATTCATTGATTTCACCCACCTTCAGCCAGAACCTGGTAGAGTAATTGAAACTGTCACTTCTGAAAGGTCCAAGTCCTCAATTATCCTGCCTTTTTTTGTTTTGTTTTGTTTATGCACTTTTCCACTACACTTTTCTATTGCATATGGAGTACTAATATACACCCCAAACTGTCTCCTGAGTTACAAACATAGTCCTCCTTGCCCCTAATGTATAAAGGCAGCCCGGTTTTCTCTTGGCAATAGGGATCAATCACTCCACCTAGAAGAGAAATCCACCTTTCTGCCGGTTGATTCAGTAGCATAAGGAATCTGAAACTGCCAAGTGGAAATCTTTCTCCAATTCAACAGAACCATTATGTCTCATGGTGGAAACACACTCCATATAAGGACTCAGATCTCTGAAATAGCAGAGCTCAAAGATGCCAGAAGAAGCAAATATTCTGCAAGTGTGTTATTAGTGTTGCTCTGGTCTGAAGGTTGGTGACGTCTCAAAATTTATATGTTGAAATGTAATCACAAATGTGATAGTATTAAGAAGTGGGTCCTTTAGGAAGTGATTAAGTCATGAGAGTGGAGCCCTCATGAATGAGATTAGTGCCTTGGTAAAAGAGGTGCAAGGGAACTGTTCACCCCTTCCTCCAGGTGAAGAGCAACAAGAAGAGGCCATATTGGAAGCAGAGAGCAAGCCCTCACAAGACACTGAATCTGTTTGATCTGAGATTTACCAACCTCAAAAACTGTGAGAAGTAAGTTTCTGTTGTTCATGAATTACCCAGTAAAAGGCATTTTCGTATAGCAGCAGAAACAGACTAAGACAAATATAATAGTTAAGAGGAGCCATTCTTACATCCTACTTTTGATTCCTGAACCCATGTATTCTGGTCATGATAGGGAAAGTGTACTATCTAGTTATTTGTTTGTTTTTTTATCAGAGGATTAGCCCAATCAAACTATTCCGCTATTAACAGAAGCTAGAAATAAATCCCTTTGTTACTGACATTTTTTGCTTACCATTAAGATTTTTGTTATTTATGGATTATCTATTTTTGTCTTTTTTCGCATATATTTTAAGAAATCTACTCATTCACTCTCTTTGTATATCAAATACACAGATCATTTGGCTGTTCTATAAGTTGCAAGTATTCATCCAGTGTATTATTTCAGTTTTATTTTCATATATATATGTGTGTGTGTGTGTGTGTGTGTGTGTGTGTGTGTGTGTGTGGCTTTTATTTTTATGTGTTCAGATGTGATCTTTTTATTTTCCATTTCCTTACTGCTTTTCAGCTTAGAAATACCTCTTCCAATTTAATAAATATTCTGTCATATATTTTATTGTTTCTATTTTCTTTGCATTTAACTTAAAAATCCACCTGGGACTAATTTTGTTACATAGTAAAAAATGAGGACCTGGTTTGTCTGACCCACAAATATCTAACCAACTTATCCAGCACTATTTACAGAATAATTCTTCCTTTTTGCCACCAAATATAATGCAGTCTATATTTTAAATATTTTAAAAGATTTTTACATACCTAAATCTATTTCAACATGCTCCATGGTTAGGGGATGTAAATGAATAAACTATTCTCTTAATTTGGACTATGTGGCCATTCTTGTAACCACATTGTTTTAATTACTTTGTAATCTGTTAGACTATTCTGTAAGACTAGTACATCTCCCTCTTCAACAGCCACACTTAAATTCCTCTTCTTTTTAATTTTTAAAAACTATTTGTACTGGTTTATCCTTTCAGATGAATGTTAGAATTGTTTTATCTTCTCCAAATGGGATTTTATTTAATCACGTTAAAATTATAAATTAATTTGGAATGGTTGACACTTGTATTATGGTTCTCCAGAGAAACAGAACCAATGGGATGTACATAAAAAGAAGTTTATTGTAAGAAATTGTCACATGTGATTATGGAGGCTGACAAATCCCAATATGTGCAGGGAGAGGGGGCAGGCTGGAGACTCAGGTGAGATGTTGTCTTTCCTCTCTCAATCCTAAAACCTGAGAACCAGGAAAGCCAGTGGTGTAGTTCTGGTCCAAAGGTTGGCAGGCTTAAAATCTAGGAAGAGCTGGTATTTCAGCTTGAAAGCAGTTGGGCAAAGGAATTCTCTTACTCAGAAGAAAGTCAGCCTTTTTGTTCTCTACAGACTTTAAAATGATTGGATGTGGCCCACCCACATTAGGGAGAGCAATCCACTTTAGTCTACTGATTTAAATGTTAAACTCCTCCAGAAACACCCTCACAGACACAACCAGAATAATGTTTGATCAAATATCTGGGCACCAAATGACCCAGTCAAGTGGACACATAACATTAACCATCACAACACCTTTATACCATTCCATTTCATTCAGCAATAATTATTTGAGTTTAGTTATATATTCTACTTACAAGTCAAGATTTGTGGGTTTCATTATCCAGGTCATGCCTGCTTCTTAAAATTATGGTATTTCCTAGAATATGCGCACCTATTGTTGCTTTTAAGAATGGACATTTGGCCAAGTGCTGTAGCTCACACCTGTAATCCCAGCACTTTGGGAGGGTGAGGTGGGCAAATCACATGGTCAGGAATTCTAAACCAGCCTGGCCAATATGGTGAAACCCCCTCTCCACTGAAAATACAAAAATTAGCCAGGCATGTTGGCAGCTGCCTATAGTCCAGCTACTCAGGAGGCTGAGGCATGAGAATTGCTTGAACCTGGGAGGCAGAGGGTGCAGTGAGCCAAGATCGAGACACTGCACTCCAGCCTGGGCGACAAAGTGAGACTTCATTAAAAAAAAAAAAAAGAAAAAGGACATTTTTCCCATTAGATTTTCTACCTGATTATTGCTGGTATACAGAGAAGCAGCTGATTTTATTTGTTCAGCCCTTAACTGAACTCTTGGTAATTCTGAAAGTTTTTCAACTGATTCTCTTAGGTTTTCTGCTGGACAGTCATATTACATGCAAACTAAGGCAAATGTATCTTTGCCCTGTCTACATTATTGCTTCTATTTCTATTTCCTGTATTATTGCATTTATCATAGCTTCCAGAAGAGCATAAAATACTAACAGAGGCAGCAGAAACCTTTGAATTCCCATTTTAATAGGATGATCTCTATAATGCTTCAAATTAACATTTTGCTGTTGATAGGAAACAAATGCTTTATCATGTTTAAGAAGGTATCCTAGCCGGGCGCGGTGGCTCAAGCCTGTAATCCCAGCACTTTGGGAGGCTGAGGCGGGCGGATCACGAGGTCGAGAGATCGAGACCATCCTGGTCAACATGGTGAAACCCCGTCTCTACTAAAAATACAAAACATTAGCTGGGCATGGTGGTGCGTGCCTGTAATTCCAGCTACTCAGGAGGCTGAGGCAGGAGAATTGCTTGAACCCAGGAGGCGGAGGTTGTGGTGAGCCGAGATCGTGCCATTGCATTCCAGCCTGGGTAACAAGAGCGAAACTCCGTCTCAAAAAAAAAAAAAAAAAAGAAGGTATCCTTTGTTTCCTGGATTTGGAAGAACCCAGAAAAAGGAGTAAGTGTTGAATCATCTCAAATAACTTTAAGCATCCACTGATATGATTATGTCATTTTTCCCATTTGACCTCCAGAGGTAATATATTTTTATAGGCTTCCTATATTAAATTATTCTATGTTATTGTAATAAACTCAAATAGATCATTCTTTTCATTTTCTGCTCTTGGACAAGTTGGCTTCTCTATGTTAGCTTCTTCATCTATAAAGTAGAGCTAAAAATTGTACTTACTCCATGTTATAGGACATAGTTGAGATAAATCACATAAAGTAAATTCATATAAAATGACTAGCACAATGTCCAACACAAAGGGTATGTTCAGCTAATATTACCATTATTGTTATTAACCAATAGGGTAGAATACGGTTAGAGTAGGGAAAATTGTATTTCCCTAAGAGTTTTTTAATATTCATGAGAGGGACATTTCTCATATATTTAAGCTAGCTCAACCATTGTGGAAGACAGTGTGGCACTTCCTCAAGGATCTAGAAATAGAAATTCCATTTGACCCAGCAATCCATTACTGGGTATATACCCAAAGGATTATAAATCGTTCTATTATAAAGCCACATGCACACGTATGTTCATAGTGGCACTGTTTACAATAGCAAAGACCTGGAACCAACCCAAATGCCCATCAGCGATAGACTGGACAAGGAAAATGTGGCACATATACACCATGGAATACTATGCAGCCATAAAAAATGATGAGTTTGTGTCCTTTGTATGGTCATGGATGAATCTGGAAACTTTCATTCCCAGCAATCTGAGACAAGAACAGAAAATCAAACACCGCATGTTCTCACTCATAGGCGGGTGTTGAACAATGAAAACACATGGACACAAGGAGGGGAGCATCACACACTGGGGTCTGTTTGTGGGGGGCAAGGGAGGGACAGCAGGTGGATGGAGAGGCCGGGGAGGGATAACATGGGGAAAAATGCCAGATACAGGTGACAGGGTGATGGAGGCAGCAAATCACATTTCTATGTGTGTACCTATGCAACAATCCTGCATGATCTGCACATGTACCCCAGAACGTAAGGTACAATAAAAAAATAATGAAGTAGGTATTTTTAAATTGTATATATTAATCATTGACAGAAACAATAAAAAAGAGTTATTTTTCAATGTTTTATTGTAAAGCAATGTTTGCTTATACCCACCTCTTTGGATTAAATACTAAGTCTTGTATACAGTTAGGTTGGGTTCATGGCCATGTGACCAGTGCAGCTGCACACAGCCCCATGTCACAAGGACCCCACATATGGGTTTTACTCCTCTGCAGTCACCCTTTTGAAATTCTTAACAATTTTTAAGTTTTTTTGAATTTGTTTTTTGTATATGAAGTCAGTGGGACAACGGAGCTTGTGCAGGCAATTAGAGCCTCTGCTCACTCATGGCTCTCCTTCCATTCCCTCCCCACCTTTCTGGGATTCTTGGCCACCCTCTGCCTTGCCTGGCCTCACCCTCCCCACCCTGTCCAGCTACTGCCCAAGAGGGGCCTGGGTGCAGGTGTGGATACAAGTTGGGTAGGGCAGCTGTGACCCAGAAAGTCTTCAGGCAGAGTATGGGAAGCCATTCTGCCCTAGGCTGGCAGTGCCATGGTGCAATTTTTTTTTTGAGACAGAGTCTCACTCTGATGCCAGGCTGGAGTCCAGTGGCATAATCTCAGCTCACTGCAACCTCTGCCTCCCGGGTTCAAGTGATTTTCCTGTCTCAGCCTCCCAAGTAGCTGGGACTACAGGCATGCACCACCACACCCAGGTAATTTTTGTATTTTTAGTAAAGACAGGGTTTCACCATGTTGGCCAGGATGGTCTCTATCTCTTGACTTCGTGATCTCTCCGCCTCGGCCTCCCAAAGTGCTGAGATTACAGGCGTGTGCCACTGTGCCCAGCCAAACCTTTATTTCACTCATCTTTAATCCAAGTACTTAAAGGTTTCTAGCCCAAAGGTTACAATACCCTTGGGGTTGCCTATCCACTGTAGGTTGGGGCTTCAGGGCTATGAGACATGAATTATGTAATTTCAGTGATTCCACATAGGAGCTAAATGTTCTGATATTTGCATTTAAAATTGGCATTGCCCAATATAAACAGTAAACATTATACTATTGTTTTCCTCCCCAGTGCCTGTGAGAACATCATACTAATACATTTTTTTAAATTGTATTGACTTAGAATGACATTAAACAGCACATAAAAAAACACTATGACAAGTTGAGAGACTCAGACCACAGAAAGAAGGAAAAAGTTTTATATTTAATACCTTAAACCACACTATTTCCTGCTTTTTTAAAAAAATGGCCCTGTATTTTCATTTTACACTGGGCTCCAAAAACTACATAGCCTATTCTTTCCTGGGATATGGAAATTTGGGCCAGTGTGCAAGTATGTCTGAGTTTGAATAAATATAGGATGGTAAGAAACAGATAAGGGAAAGAGTAATATTTTCTATTACATGGAAGTAGATATTGATTTTTTCAAACTTACAATGGAGAAAGTAATATTAAGATGGTAAATATGCTCATGATACCAAACATGTCACCCACAAAATGATAAACTCTAAGAGAATTTGACGTTTAAGGAGTTATGATGAACTGCCTGATCTGATTTCTTGAATTCGTCAATAAGGATTAGGGACTCTATAACGAAATTCCAAATAGGTTTGCATTAAAAGGGGTGTAACTGCAGCAGAATCTAAATGTATGTAAAATAGGTAATAGCAAGATGTTATAATGTTTTTATTTTGCATGAGGCAGAAGCTGTTTAGGAAAAAAAATAGGGGTTTAAAGAACAGGGAACGTACCTTCAACTGTTATGTCAGAGCGGTGGACCATGACGAAATGACTGTGATAGATCAGCTAGTCTTGGAACAAATTATGGAAGGAAATGATGAACAACAGCTGCAAAGAAAAACATGCAAGAATTCTCAAATGATGTCCACTTTGTCTTTCATTTACCTAATTCTGGAAGAATACTGGTAACCTCACTTTTCAGTAATAAATATATACATCATCGTCTTCATACCCAGAAGAATGAGAAACAAATGTTTAAAAGTCACTGAAATGGGTTTCACCTCTTGTACTTCATTGTTGCACAATGTCTTGCTAGAGAGACATTTTCATTCCAGATGAACATGTAGTTTTTTAGTGCTTTTCCAAAAGCAAATTGTCTGAGGTTCTTTGTACTTGATTTCCTGGTATTAATTCCCCATTAAGGTGATTCATGAGGTTTTTTTTTGAATTAGGTTCCTATGTCCTTTTAAAAATCAGTTTGGTGTCTACCTTTCAATTAAATGAATGAGTCAGTGTATCATTCAGACAGGTGTGGACTTGCATAACTATAAAGTTCAATGAGACTTGCATATAATTGAGAAAATGGGCAAGGACTAAAAGTGGAATCTAAACAGGCATAACTATTTCAGGAAGAACAAATTAGAAAATT